GGACCCTTTTCATCGAATCCGTTCCGACTAAAGTGGGAGAGACTGTCACCCGCTAGCCACCTTATGCACCAAGTGCATGTCAGTCGGTGGAACCTGTCTCACGTAAGAATACGTGTAAGGTCGGTCCGGGCCGCTTCATCCCACAATACCGTCGAAACAAGATTGGACTAGTAACGGTAAGCATATTGAACAACATCAACGCCCACAACTACTTTGTGTTCTACTCGTGCAAGGAATCTACGCAATAGACCTAGCTCATGATGCCACTGTTGGGGAACGTAGCAGAAATTCAAAATTTTCCTACGTGTCACCAAGATCTATCTATGGAGAAACTAGCAACGAGGGGAAGGAGAGTGCATCTACATACCCTTGTAGATCGTTAAGCGGAAGCGTTCAAGAGAACGGGGTTGAAGGAGTCGTACTCGTCGTGATTCAAATCACCGGAGATCCTAGTGCCGAACGGACGGCACCTCCGCGTTCAACACACGTACAGCCCGGTGACGTCTCCCATGCCTTGATCCAGCAAGGAGAGAGGGATAGGTTGAGGAAGACTCCATCCAACAGCAGCACAACGGCGTGGTGGTGATGGAGGAGCGTGGTAGTCCTGCAGGGCTTCGCCAAGCACCTACGGGAGAGGAGGAGTACGAGAGGTAGGGCTGCGCCAAGAGGGAGAAGTTCTCATCTGTATGGCAGCCCCGAACCTCAACTATATATAGGGGGGAAGGGGGCTGTGCCCCCTTTAGGGTTTCCCACCCCAAGGGGTGCGGCCAAGGGGGGAGGAGTGCGTCCCAAGTCAAGTGGAGGCCTCCCCTCTAGGGTTTTACCCTTCCCATGCGCATGGGCCTTGGGGGGCTGGTTCCCCTGGCCCATTAAGGCTAGGGCACCCCCTACAGCCCATGCTACTGTATTGGACGTGGTGGAACAATTTCCGGACCTCCGGACCCCTCCGGAATCCTCCGGAACCTTCTGGAAGCTTCCCGGTACAATACCGAAAAAACCCGAACTTTTTCCGGAACCCGAACAACAACTTTCCATATATAAATCTTTACCTCCAGACCATTCCGGAACTCCTCATGACGTCCGGGATCTCATCCGGGACTCCGAACAACATTCGGTAACCACATACAAGCTTCCTTTATAACCCTAGCGTCATCGAACCTTAAGTGTGTAGACCCTACGGGTTCGGGAGACATGCAGACATGACCGAGACGTTCTCCGGTCAATAACCAACAGCGGGATCTGGATACCCATGTTGGCTCCCACATGTTCCACGATGATCTCATCGGATGAACCACGATGTCATGGACTCAATCGATCCCGTATACAATCCCCTTTGTCTAGCGGTATTGTACTTGCCCGAGATTCGATCGTCGGTATACCGATACCTTGTTCAATCTCGTTACCGGCAAGTCTCTTTACTCGTTCCGTAACACATCATCCCGTGATCAACCCCTTGGTCACATTGTGCACATTATGATGATGTCCTACCGAGTGGGCCCAGAGATACCTCTCCATTTACACGGAGTGACAAATCCCAGTCTCGATTCGTGCCAACCCAACAGACACTTTCGGAGATACCTGTAATGCACCTTTATAGCCACCCAGTTACGTTGTGACGTTTGGTACACCCAAAGCATTCCTGCGGTATCCGGGAGTTGCACAATCTCATGGTCTAAGGAAAAGATACTTGACATTAGAAAAGCTTCAGCATACGAACTACACGATCTCTATGCTAGGCTTAGGATTGGGTCTTGTCCATCACATCATTCTCCTAATGATGTGATCCCGTTATCAACGACATCCAATGTCCATAGCCAGGAAACCATGGCTATCTGTTGATCACAACGAGCTAGTCAACTAGAGGCTCACTAGGGACTTATTGTGGTCTATGTATTCACACGTGTATTACGATTTCCGGATAATATAGTTATAGCATGAATAAAAGACTATTATCATGAACAAAGAAATATAATAATAACACTTTTATTATTGCCTCTAGGGCATATTTCCAACACATTCCTTTTCGCCCCACGGGGCCCTGCGGCCCCTCGTTGGCTAGCCGCCGCAGGTTCGGCCTCCGGCCTCGGAAAACTCCCCTGCAAAACACGATTGCCGTCAGAAACACCGGAATACGTGAGAGTGCAATCTCTCTCAAGGGAATGAGACTCTGGCTTCTGTCACCTGGGAGCCCGGGATTAACCCTGGGTAATCAGCCGTGATGGCTACCAAGGTATTATCCTTGCTTAGCTGATGGAACACCCCGTCGATTAGCTCCACCAATATGTCCGGATCCTCTTCGGAGTCCGGATTGAGGGACCGTTCTGGGTCCTCGGGCTGTGGAGGCCGACTGCTTATGTCCTTTACCTCCTGTCGCAGTTCTTGCATTGAAGTCGTTAGACTACCTAACCATTGGAGTATAAAACAAACGGGCAAGCGCAATTGTTCACTTACCCAACTTGGAGGATCGTACATACTGAATCCGGCCCGCGGGTTGACGCGGAGGAATTCCTCCTTTTCTCCCTTGTACAAAGAGGATAAGATTTTTACTAAGGCGGCGGCTGAGGCCGGCCCCTTACGACTGTAACGTGTGGCGTCATCCTCCCTGTTGAAATCCCACATGGGGTGGCCTCTATATTGAAGCGGCTGCACCCCCCGCGTAATGCATGCGGCCATGACTCCAATCATGGTTAGTCCGGAATGAGCCAACAGTCTTATCCGGCCCATTAGGTAAAGGGCGTCTCTGTCGCTTTCTCTCTGAGAGTTCCGCGGACGCCAACTCAAGCGTTTCTTCAATGGAGCACTGTTGAACTCAGGGAGACCGACCCGGATAGGGTCCGGTAGCGGGACGTCATCTATATAAAACCATTCCGAAGGCCAGTCCTCGGACGCCTTCTTTGGGGTTCCGGATAGGTATCCGGTCCCGGTGATGCGCCATACTTCGGCTCCGCCCACTTGGTATATGGATCCCTTTTGAGAACGGGGCACCAGGCAGAATAACCTCTTCCACAGCGCGAAATGAGTCTCAACTCCTAAAAGTAGCTCGCAAAGGGCGACGGAACCCGCGATATGCAATACGGAGGCGGGCGTGAGATTGTGCAGCTGGAGGCCGTAGAACTCCAGAAGCCCACGGAGAAATGGATGAATTGGGAATCCCAGTCCCCTTATTAGATAGGGGACGAGGCACACCCGCTCTCCTTTAGAAGGATTGGGGGTGCTCTCCGCTTGTTTTCCGCCATTGTAGGTGGCGAGACCGGCTCGGACCGGGACCATGTATGCCTGAGGAAGAAATCCCTTGGCTTGAAGCGACGCTAACTCGCTATGCGGGATGGTGCAACTCTCCCAGTCCCCGGGTTTGGGACCGGAGGGGCGAGGGGAGGAGCTGCGACGGCTGGTCATGTTGGAATGGACCTTTGCTGGAGGCGCTCTGATGATAACTCGCGGAAAGGAGAAGATGTGGTTGGGACCTAAATCCCCATCCCGTTAAATAGACGGCTTGTTTATACGGCTAGGGGTGTGGATGTAAAAATACCCTGGCTTTTCGCATTTGTTTAAACACGTGGAAGACGGCCATTATTGGGCATGGAAGCCGAGGAGCACTACATTACAAAAATCGGACATTATTTCTACAGGTACACAAGATTTGGAGAAGAACCCACCTTGCAATGCCGAACAATCTGCACACCGGACTCATCGTCATTGAAGCCTGGTTCAGGGGCTACTGAGGGAGTCCTGGATTAGGGGGTGTTCGGGTAGCCGGACTATACCTTCAGCCGGACTCCTGGACTATGAAGATACAAGATTGAAGACTTCGTCCCGTGTCCGGACGGGACTTTCCTTGGCGTGGAAGGCAAGCTTGGCGATACGGATATTCAAGATCTCCTACCATTGTAACCGACTCTGTGTAACCCTAACCCTATCCGGTGTCTATATAAATCGGAGGGTTGTAGTCCGTAGGCAATCAACTCCATACACAACAATCATACCATAGGCTAGCTTCTAGGGTTTAGCCTCCTTTGATCTCGTGGTAGATCTATTCTTGTACTACCCATACCATCAATATTAATCAAGCAGGAGTAGGGTATTACCTCCATCGAGAGGGTCCGAACCTGGGTAAAACAAAGTGTTCCCTGCCTCCTGTTATCATCTGGCCTAGATGCACAGTTCGGGACCCCCTACCCGAGATCCGCCGGTTTTGACACCGACAGCGAGGAACATGACTGCGAGAGCAGCGGGGAGACGAGGCGGCGCCGATTGGGCGGCCGACGCATGGAAAACGTTGCCAAGGGCTGTGGCGGCTCCATGGCGGCGTTTGAGGGGCGCAATGAGGCGAGACGGCGCGGGGTTGGAGGGATTGGCGGCGGCGATGATGCAGAGGGGTGGCGCAGAAGGGGAGGAAGTTTTCCTCCCGTCAAATCGCTCGTTGGACAGAGGGAGGGGCAAAACGGAAAGGAGGGACCGGATGCTGGCCAAAATACGAAGGTCACCGCGAAAAAAAAATGTGCCATGCCGATATACGGGACCTGGTTGGGTTGATTTTTCATTTCGGTCCTGTATATTGGCGGTTATTTTGCGAGATGTGAGATATAGTACACTGGAGTTTTTTTACTGCTAGAGACGCCGGGGAAAACCTAGGACGAGGATTGAGGAGGCGAGATCCTGGACCGCGACCGTCCCGTCCCCTCCTAAAACCCCAATCTTGTCGGGTTACGCGCCCTCATTTCCATTCCCCTCCCCCTCCTCCGCCGGCGCCTCCTCCTCCGCCTCCCTCCTTCCCATCCCACGGCGCACAAAACCCTCGACACCCTCATTTCTCCCGGCCTCCTTCCGTTCCGCCCGCGCCCCCACTTTGTCGCTTCTCTGGGTGGGGTGGTGTCGCGTTTCTTCCTCTTCCCCCCTTTCTCTGGTGGTGGCTCCTCCGGTTCTCATGTGCCTTGTTTCGCCGCAGGTGCGGGCGGTGTGTGCGCCTAGGGCGGTGGTCATTTTTGCTGTCTGCGAGGAGGATGCAGGCCACCGGGAGCGTGACCTGGGTCGTCGGCGCCCAGGCGTCCGTCTTGGGGAGATGCAGCGGCGGGGTGCCCTACCCTTCGTCGTCGTCTTCTGCTTCCTCTGGTAGGTCCCAGGGGCTCGGCACGGTGCGGTGCTGCGTGCAGGCGCAGGAGAAGAAGCCACGGGTGAGGAAGACCAAGGAGGAGCGGAGGGAGATGGTCGAGTCCTTCGTTGACATGTACTGCCCCCATCTCTTTCCCTCTCGCCTCAGTTAATTGTAGTTTTGAATTCTCTGTGTGTAGGTCTGTACCGTCTACTCCCTCCGTCCGGAAATACTTGTCATAGAAATGGATACAAATAGGTGTATCTAGAACTAAAATACATCTAGATACATCCATTCCTTGGACAAGTATTTCCGGACGGAGGGAGTAATTAAGATGCTCATCCTTCTGATTGTTGGTGCTAAAATGAAGTTGCTAGTAGGATTTAGTTCACACGTTTGGTGCCCTCTGTTTGTTACTAGGATTTAGTTCACACGCTTTGCGATTGTTGGTAGTTTGTTTTACAACCTTTATAGGAAGTTTGCGTCGCAAGCCTACTTTTCTAGCGCATTGTTTCTTAGAATCATGATTTAACCTATATGTTCTATGATTCTGATTATGTTTTTTTTGCGGCGTGATCTAGACTATGATTTTATCCACTGTTTCTTATTTTTGCATTTTGGTTTATCTGATTGGAATGCGACGGTGTGGGAGTGTGTCTTTCTCTTGAGCCTCGTTTTGCACGAAGATTTTATAGAGGTTAAAGATATGAGCAAACCAGCTTTCCCCGTTTCATCATATGTGCTTTGTGCATGTCGAGTATTTCTTTTCCTCGTAGTAATCCAATTGGCGCTGCTGTCGTCTCATTTCAGGTATCGGGTTTCAAACAACGGGAAATTTCCTTCAGTCAATCTTACACACAAGGAAGTTGGAGGATCATATTATATAGTCCGTGAAATTATGAGAGATATCATCCAAGAGAACAGAGTTCTTGGCCCTGGTGACTTGAATGCTAAGACGTTGAGTTTTCAGGATTGCCCTGATTCTTCAGAATTATCAAATAGGCATGAATTGGGCCAAGACAACATAGAGATATTAGATATGTCTGATGGGTATCATGGCAACAAAGATTATGTGCTGGAAATGTCTGACAAGGATGAAGCATTTTCATTGCAAACGAACTTCATCAGCACTCAACAGTTACTGACCTCATCTGATATCTTGGAATCTGGTATTCTGAACAGTGTACTCCAAAATGGGAATGTAGCAGATGCAACATGCTTGGAGCCAAACCTTGAGAAACAAGACGAAGCCTTGCGTGGGAAACCAAGGGAGTCTCAGACTAATAGTTCTGAGATGCAAGCCCCATCTCTTGCTCATGTTTCTGATTTGCATAAGGAAATTGAGGTCACCAATGCAGGGGATGAGCATGAGGAAACAACCAGTAGCATCACTGATGAAGTCACTCTTTCCCCAGAACGTAGTGTTGTTTCTCAAACAAATGGTGCACTTCTACATGAGCATGTGACATCACCTGACGAATGTGGTGTCACAACTAATACTGCTGTTGATGAGGCTATTGTTTTCTCAGAAAATAATGGCGTTCTTCAGACAGATCAGATCCTTATACAGGAGCATGAGATAGTACCTGAAACATCAAGTATCGAGACAGAAGTTGTTCAGGTTGCAGATGGCCAATTTAGATCTGCAACACCTGCAACTCAAATGGATGCTTATACCTCGAATACAAGTGCAGCAACAATAGAATCAGCTGTGTCCATTGATCATCATGATGTGGTTGAGCGACCACTGCTTGGTGCCAGCCCTAACGAACAACGAAAGCCAGAAGATCTTGCCTCTCGACCAGCAATGGATACAAAGGTTAGTCCATAAGTCTATGCAGTTTTTTACAAGAATTTCACCATCTTTACTAAACTGTGCATAATCATGTGATAAGATTGTATGGTTGTATGTATCAATGTATCATAGCCTTTATGGAATCGCTTATCTTCCAGTGACCATTATCTCTCCTCTGACATTGTTGTGTTTACTGATTTATTCTATGTCCTCGAATGACACACTGTGTTTACTTTTGCTTGGACCATTTTTTCTTGTAATTTATTTGCTGCATATTTTGGTATGTCCAATTCATATTATTCTGCATCTTTTCAGGGTTTTCTGCAAAAGGAATACAACCACAACACGGTAGAGAAAGATGTAAGTGAAATCAAGAAATCGGTATCTGGCATCACAGAAGAAGAGCGTGAGGCAAGCAAGGCTAATCATGAACATGGGATAAGTGCGACAACAACGATCGGCAGGCATGCACTTTGCATTCTGACATTGCGTTGCATGCTTTACTTACTTACGAAGCCTTTTATCCCAAACAAGTTGGGGTAGGCTAGATATGAAACCCTTTCACGAGGACTTCCCAGGAGGTCACCCATCCTAGTACTACTCTCGCCCAAATGGGTTTCATACCCAAAAGACTGGCTAGTTTTTACGTTGGCTCGCCAAGCCTATCACAACCCTTAGATATGAAACCCTTTCACGAGGACTTCCTAGGAGGTCACCCATCCTAGTACTATTCTCGCTCAAATGGGTTTCATACCTATGGGACTGGCTAGTTTTTACGTTGGCTCGCCAAGCCTATCACAACCCTCCTCCTCTACCCGGGCTTGGGACCGGCTATGCCTAGAAGACATAGGCGGAGTTGCGTTGCATGCTTACTGTTTATAATTTTCTGCATACATCGCAAAAGGCCATAACATATTAGGTAAGTAAAAAATAATAATCAAAATTCATCATGTTTCTCATCTTCCTGTACCTGTTAAAGCTATATTATGCATTTTGTTACATGGTTTACATCCTGTAGAGGTATTGTTTGAATCAGTGCACGTAATAATGTAAACTCATGTGAGGTTACCCTGCACATCTTAGCGCGAATTGAGGCAAAAGTGGAGCTTCGGAACAGTTATAGGTGATCAAGCTGCGAAATAGCATGCTAGTAGATACTCCATTGATAACTGCATTTGGCATTCTGTCAGCGGCACATGATGCAGTAGTTATGTGCATGCGCGAGATTTTTTGTGGGGTGGTTAGTTAGTGAAATGCCATATCGCATATTTACTGTCGGAGGAAAGAGATGTGGTGACTGCCAAGTGCAAGGAAAGGAAGAAGAAAAGCATAAAATCAGATTACTTGGGGTCAACCATGCCAAATCACATCTTGCTTACTTTCCCAGGAATGATTAACCCAGCTCAAAAAAAGGGGAATGGGATTAACCATGCCAAACGTTTAATAACTTACACTTTATATATTCAACAATGCATCATGACCTTTTGTCTCTCTCATGTTCTGCTTTAATGACCTGCAGGAGAACTGGGAAGGAACAGCAGAAGAAAGAGGACAACCTATTTTGGCTTATCGTAAGGGCATTTGTTGTTTCTATGTCCAAGTTGTGGGCAAAATGAGTGATGGGCGAAATGCATCTTCATCTGGTACTTCCTGGGATGTCTTCCTGCCTACTAGGAAACGAGAAGCGCTTTGCGGAGCTCCAATCTCCCTGATGCATATAGATGTTCTTCTTGCGCAGCACTTTGGGTGTTTTGTTATGCTTGGTTTAGTTTATAGCCTATTTTTGTAGCTCAGATGTATCTTTTGGTCAACTTGCTCTGCTTTGTCAAGTTGACACTGCCAACTCTAGAGAAGTACTCAGGAGTTTCTTATTTTGTAGGAGTAAGATCTGTCTTGAGCTCTGAAAGCAACAGTTCGTACATTCTCTGATTTAATCGAGCATGAATGATTTCCTGTTGACTTTTCTGCAATTATGGAAGCTTGTTCCTTTAGTCACAGCAGAGCAGCATTTAGCAACCGCCTCAAATATATCCTTGTGACATATGAACCTATCCAGATTCGCACAACTTTTTGCTCTTGATACACAAAACCCATAGAGTATTTTAAGCACAGAAATGAACAAATTTCATACTCCCTCTGTTCACTTTTATAAGACATTTAAGACAGCACATAAAACAGTTCAATTTCAGCTGTCCTAAATGACTTACAAAAGTGAATAGAGGGAGTACTTTACACTTGAATGTAAGGGTACTGCTCAGAGTTAAAACAGGGTCACTTTATACAAATATATAACTTATGTACAATTCCATTCATAACTAATCTTGCTGTGTTTGCTACTACCTCCGTAAAGAAATATAAGAGCATTTATAGATCACTAAAATAGTGATCTAAATGCTCTTATAGAGGGGGTACTTCGCTATAACTAAAGGATGACACATAGATCGGCTTATTTGGAGGAATGGAACCAACAACATGGGAGAAAATTGCAACATACAAATGGTATGGGTAGAACTAATGTAAATCCTATTTGGGGTAGGATTTGGAAATTATCTTGTCCGACAAAGGTGAAATTTTCCATTTGGCGTACTTTGCATGAAACTCTCCCGTGTTGTGTTACACTTGCTAATAGACATATGAAAGTTTTGCCCATCTGCCCATCATGTTTGAATGGACCAGAAGATACAGAACACGTGTTGTTTCTATATCAGAGGGCGAAAGAGGTTTGGAAAAAGCTGGGGTTGTATGAGATGGTTAGGAAAACTTGCGTTGTTGATCGTGCAAGCGATTGTATGAGATGGTTAGGAAAGCTTGCGTTGTTGATCGTGCGGGCGAGGCGGTACTTGAGTTTTTACTTCTTATGCCAGATCAAGATTTAGCTATTTTGGGCCTTCAGAATGCACGTGAACTGATTGCTATAACAACTTGGTATTTATGGTGGGATACACGTAAGCTGGTTCATGAAGAAAAGTCTCAAGATGCGTACCAAACTTCAATGGGGGCTCGTGCTATAATAGCAAACTATGTTAATGCCCACTCTTCGAAGGTAATTAGTAAAACTGGGGGATGTAGCAGACCTCTTATAGGTTTTGTTAAGCTGAATGTTTGATGCTTCTTTCAATCATGGTCTGCTTAGAGGCACAACGGGGGCTGTTCTTAGGGATGATAAAGGAAGGTTCATTGTTGGTGGAAATTGGAAGATTGATTGATGTGCTCATGTTTTGACAGCAGAAACATTGACCCTAAGATTTGGCTTATTACTTGCACAAAAGACGAGATGCAATCGTCTTGTTATTAACTCAGACAATATGAAAGTGATTGACACAATAAAGAATGGAGAACATTCCGCAGGAGCGGCGGCGGCAGTGTTTGATGATTGTTTTTTTATTCCGTGTGATTTCCCTCTTATTAGTTTTGAACATTGTAATAGGGAAGCAAATAAGGTTGCTCATGAACTTGCTAGGTTAGCGAAATTTTCTGTGACAAGGGATTGGTTTGAGGAGCCTATGTTTGAAATTGTATCTTTTCTTATTGACGATGTAACTATTATTTCCAATTAATAAAGTTGACGTTTTATTAAAAAAAAGGATGACACATAAAGACTGTTAATTATTCAACTCCAAGAACGGAAGCTACGTATTAGTTAAGTTTATGCCTGCCATCATTCTGCTTCAGATTTGTAAATCCAAATGAACCATGACAGGTCATATCAACAAGCATCACATCCTGGAGCGTCCAATCTAACACAGCCTATTATTACATCTCAAGACATTATTGTTGAAACTTCACCAATTGGGTACTTGCTAGTCGATTTCAACAATCTCCTAGTTTCGTCATCCATTGAGACCTTATCCTCGTCCATTCGTTCATCAATTATCAGAGGCATCATTTCAGCTTTAGCGTACGTGCGCAGGACTGAGTTATATATCTCAGTTGTGACATAGCCTGCATCTCTAAGCACAACGAGGAGCTCCTCTGCAGCTTCAATGTCACCTCTCTTCTCAATCTGCGAAAAAAGAGCCGCGACGAGTTGCGGGTTTGGCTCCCATTTCTCCAAGCTTGACAATGCTTTCTTAAGGCATTCCATAACTTTGGCCGTCCTCTCGTCGTTGCCAAGGTAACCCCAAACGAATAACTCCCAAGTGCTATAGCTGGGCTTGACTCCTTTCTGCACAATGTATTGAAGAAAACTCTCTGCCTTCTCCATGTTGCCATTCTTGATGTAAAATGAAAGGATGGTGTTTGGGATCCTTGAATCTTTTGTTCCTGACTCTGACTCCCATTCGCCGTAAACGCACTCTGCTGCTGCAATATCGCCAAACCTTGTAAGCGAAGTAAGCATGCACTTGTACTCGGCGTCACTGAACTTCCTGAAGGTTTGTCTCATCTTGCTCCACACCCTGTCCAAGTTACCTCTATCTGACAGGCTTGCGTACATGGTGAGTAGTGATGAGTAGGCGGCTCGCTCCTTCCTGGAGGCCCTCTTCTCCATCTCCACAAGCGCATCCCGGCCTTTGACATGAAGACCGGCATTGATGTAAATGCTGGCCAGCAGGCTGAAGGTCATCCAGTCAGGGACCACCCTGTCATCTTTCATGAGATCAAAGACCTTCTCCGCGCTTTTCACGCTGTTGTTCCTGGAGCAGTAGGTGAGCCATATGTTGTACGTGACCAGGTCTGGGATGGTGTACCTCCTGAGCTCCTTGATCATCTCGGGCACCTTCTCCAGCTCGCCGGTCGACATGTAGAGCGACATCATGTGGTTGAATGGGAGTGCGCAGGTGAGGTACCCTGCGCCAGCCATCTCCTTGAGCATGGCCTCGGCCTTGTCCCGGGCGCCGTGCTGCACGTAGGCGTGCAGGAGGGAGTTGCAGGTGGACGGCCCCTTGGCCCGCTCGGGGACGTCCTCGAAGAACTTTTCGGCGCTGGCCAGGCCCCGCACCTTGGCGACGAGGTCGAGGTGGACGGCGTGGTCCCCCGGCAGCAGCCTGATCTCCGGCTGCGTCCTCATCCACTCGCAAATCTGCATTCGTGGCGGGGCGGGGCGGGGTCAAGTCGACAGGCAATACGGCAAACAGTTGGCGGGCGGGCGCGCGCTGCTAGGTGCAACGCGTTGGCAATGGCGCGCGCGTACCTCGAGGGCGTGCTTGAAGCGGCGGTACTTGCGGAGCTCGCGGACGACGCGGTTGAGCTGGTACTTGTGCACCGCCCGGCCTTCCTCCGCCCATCGGCGCAGCACCACCACCGCGCTCCGCTTCGGGTAGATGAGCTTCAGCAGACGCTTGCCCAGCGTGTCCCCGCCCCCGCCGGAACTCGACCCTCCAGTTCCTCCTGTTGACGCCGCCGGGGCGGAGGCGGACAGCAGCCTCGCGTAGCCGGCGGCGGCCGCTAGTCGGCGGGAGAGCATCGCTTCGCAATATAGGGAGAAAAAAAAAATGTCCTGTTCGCTTGGAACTAACGGGCTAGCGAATATAGGGAGAAAAAAAAAGTCTAATTCTCAGGCCTGGTACTGGGAGGCCCATCGCAGGCCCACATAGAAAAAGGGTGCTTTGTAGTGTCTGAATCAGGATCATGAATCTCCACATGAAGGATTATCAACAAAAAGAAGTGCGTGAACACGATAAAATTTCACAAATCCTACCTAGTAGGCGCAAAAATGACGGTGAAAAAAATCTCATAATTTGGAGTCATCAGGATCATACACACGGTAACCAACAACAATCTCTAGTAGTGTGCTTGCACAGCCAGCTCCTGAGCTAGAGCACTCTATGGGGTTTGCCATGGCGACAAACTCAACACCCTAGCCTTGTTGTCCAGCAGGTGGCTCAAAGCTGCCATGAGAGCCTCATCGCAGAATCCACCTTGCTCCATGACGGCGTTGTCCAGGTCAGCGTGGACGTCGATGGACTTGCTCTCCCTAATGGCGGTTGCCACCTCCTTCACGGCCTCAGTCATGCTGGTGAAGACACTGATCTCCTCCTTCATTAGGCCGCCCCTCTTCCTCTTCCTATCGACCACAGGGACATTCTCAAAATGGCTTGTTAGAGCCATCAATGACTGCCTCTACGTCCTGGGTGCCTGGGAACTCCGCATGGGCGAATCGAGAGGCTCACCGGAGCCCATGGCATGCTTACTGGCTGCCAGCCCGAAGGAGAAGACATGTTGCATCTAGTTATAGTTCTGGATGGGTGTGTTGAGGAACTCAGCGTCTTTGGGGTGGTCCCAAGAAAGAAGCACAAAAGTTGTTAGTTACGAGTAGGCAATGGTTGTCGGTGTGAAAAATAAGGGGCAGTGAGCTAACCGTGACATGGCCGATGTGCTCTGCCTCCAGAACGATCGAGCAAGTGTTCTAACCCCATGAAGTGCCTGTAAGGTCTTTGAGCTTGGAGCTCATCGAGGGGGGCTGGGAGTCCTCGACGTAGGACGCATCGAACTGGCTGTCGGACAGGACAAGGGCCTGACTAAGATCTTGCATGCGTGGTCATGTCCTACAATCCTAGCACATATTGATAACAAGCATAACACATTGTCAAGCCCGTGGGACAGGGGGTACCCATGCCCGTCTGCCTGCGGCCCAAGGCATGGCGCCTGGCGTGGGCCCAACACGGCCCATCTTCGGGACTTCACGAGCAGGATCCTCGCGAAGCCCCCCCCGCCTCACGAGGTGGGCATCGGCAAGCATCACCAGGAGCTCCCCGAGGGCCTCGCACCGGGTGGCCTCCTGATACGTCTCCAACGTATTTATAATTTTTGATTGTTCCATGCCGTTATATTATCATTCTTGGATGTTTTACAATTATTTTATAGCAACTTTATATTATTTTTTATGACTGGCCTATTGACATAGTGCCCAGTGCCAGTTGCTATTTTTTGCTTGTTTTTACTTCACAGAAAATCAAATAACAAATGGATTCCAAATGCAGCAAAACATTTTGGAGAATTTTTCTAGACCAGAAGACATAGGATGGACCAAAGAAGTACCGCAGGGGTGCCCCGAGGGGGGCACAACCCACCTGGGCGCGCCTGGGGGCCCAGGTGCTCCCTGGTGGGTTGTGCCCACCTCGGTGGCCTCTCGCACCGCCTCTTTGCTTTATAAATACCCCAATATCCCAAAAACCCTAGGGGAGTCGACGAAACACAATTCCAGCCGCCGCAAGTTCCAGAAACCACAGATCCAATCTAGACACCATCACGGAGGGGTTCATCATCCTCATTGGTGCCTCTCCGATGATGCGTGATTAGTTCATTGTAGACCTACGGGTCCGTAGTTAGTAGCTAGATGGCTTCCTCTTGTCAGAATCGGGACTCTGTAGACCCAAGATAGATTTGAACTCTGGAGTGCGTGCGAATAACTCAACCTCCATAGTCTGCCAACACGTCGATCCCTTGGCCTAGATCGATGAACTAGAATGGAAAGAGACACAACGGTTTACCCAAGTTTGGGCCACCTTGCGGTGTAATACCCTAGTCCTGCTTTGTGGTGGATTATCCTCGAGGTGGGCTCAGGATGAACTGGTACAGAGGAAGAACAACCCCAGGAGGTGTGTTCTTATGCTTGTGTGAGCTGGTGAGGGTGCGGATGGTCTGAATGACCGTCCCCTTTTATGGTGGTGGCTAGGCTATATTTATAGTGGCCTTGGTCCTCTTTCCCAAAACGAAGGCAGGAAGGGATCCCACAACGACCAAATTCAATGGGAGACAACTAGTACATCTTATCCTGATGAAAGGTGGTCTTTGCCTGCAAAGCTTCTGGTCGTGACGCCGTGGTGGGCTCGGCAATGACCTCCGTCCTGCCATCCTAGCGGTCTTGGTCTCGTAGCACAGAAATGGAAACATTTGGTTGATTCCTCGGGACTTCACGCCTGCGCTTGCCTCTTTAACACCAAAGAGGAAACCTGCTACACTGCGTCGCTGGCGCCCTCCTGGCCTTGGTCGTCATGGCTTGCGTCATCTTAGCCTCATGAGGTGGGCGCCTACATAGGAAACTCCGCTCCTCAGGAGCCATCCTAGGGAGGCCACTCCCTCTAGAGGTCTTGGTGAAGGAAATATGCCCTAGAGGCAATAATAAAGTTGTTATTTATATTTTCTTATGTCATGATTGTTGGAAATATGCCCTAGAGGCAATAATAAATTGATTATTATTATATTTCCTTGTTCATGATAATCGTTTATTATCCATGCTAGAATTGTATTGATAGGAAGCTCAGATACATGTGTGGATACATAGACAACACCATGTCCCTAGTAAGCCTCTAGTTGACTAGCTCGTTAATCAATAGATGGTTACGGTTTCCTGACCATGGACATTGGATGTCGTTGATAACGGGATCACATCATTAGGAGAATGATGTGATGGACAAGACCCAATCCTAAGCCTAGCACAAGATCATGTAGTTCGTATGCTAAAGCTTTTCTAATGTCAAGTATCATTTCCTTAGACCATGAGATTGTGCAACTCCCGGATACCGTAGGAGTGCTTTGGGTGTGCCAAACGTCACAACGTAACTGGGTGGCTATAAAGGTACACTACGGGTATCTCTGAAAGTGTCTGTTGGGTTGGCACGAATCGAGATTGGGATTTTGTCACTCCGTGTAAACGGAGAGGTATCTCTGGGCCCACTCGGTAGGACATCATCATAATGTGCACAATGTGACCAAGGGATTGATCACGGGATGATGTGTTACGGAACGAGTAAAGAGACTTGCCGGTAACGAGATTGAACAAGGTATCGGTATACCGACGATTGAATCTCGGGCAAGTACCATACCGCTAGACAAAGGGAATTGTATACGGGATCGATTGAGTCCTTGACATCGTGGTTCATCCGATGAGATCATCGTGGAACATGTGGGAGCCAACATGGGTATCCAGATCCCGCTGTTGGTTATTGACCGGAGAACATCTCGGTCATGTCTGCATGTCTCCCGAACCCGTATGGTCTACACACTTAAGGTTCGATGACGCTAGGGTTATAAAGGAAGCTTGTATGACGTCAAGAGGTATGAGACCTCCGACGATTTTCTTAGTCTGCAAACTAAGGGAGAAAAGCTCAATCGTTGAGCTTGTGCTCAGATTGTCTAAGTGCAACAATCACTTGAATCGAGTGGGAGTTGATCTTCCAGATGAGATAGTGATGTTTCCCCAAAGTCATTGCCACCGAGCTGCTAGAGCTTCGTGATGAACTATAACATATCAGGGATAAATAAGATGATCCTTGAGGTATTCACGATGTTTGACACCGCGAAAGTAGAAATCAAGAAGGAGCATCAATTGTTGATGGTTGGTGAAACCACTAGTTTCAAGAAGGGCAAGGGAACAAAGGGATACTTCATGAAACGGCAATTCAGCTGCTGCTCAAGTGAAGAAACCCAAGGTTGAACCCAAACCCGAGACTAAGTGCTTCCGTAATAAGGGGAACAACCACTGGAGCAGCATTACCCTAGATACTTGGTAGATGAGAAGGCTGGCAAGGTCGATAGAAGTATATTGGATATACATTATGTTAATGTGTACTTTACTAGTACTCCTAGTAGCACCAGGGTATTAGATACCGGTTCGGTTGCTAAGTGTTAGTAACTCGAAATAAAAGGCTACGGAATAAACGGAGACTAGCTAAAGGAGAGCTGACGATATGTGTTGGAAGTGTTTCCAAGTTTGATATAATCAAACATCGCACGCTCCCTCTACCATCAAGATTAGTATTAAACCTGAATGGTTTATTGAATCTCGATCGTAGTGATACACATTTTCATGCCAAAAGATATAAGATAGTAATGATAGTACCACTTACTTGTGGCACTGCCATGTAAGTCATAATGGTATAAAACGCATGAAGAAGCTCCATGTTGATGGATCTTTGGACTCACTCGTTTTTGAAAGGTTTGAGACATGCGAACCATGTCTATTGGTATATATGCATGAAGAAACTCCATGCAAATGGACCGTTTGAACTCACTTGATTTTGAATCACTTGAGATATGCAAATCATACCACATAGGCAAGATGACTGAAAAGCCTCGGTTTCAGTAAAATGGAACAAGATAGAAACTTGTTGGAAGCAACACATTTCGATGTGTGCAGTCCAATGAGTGCTGAGGCATGCAGTGAATATCGTTATGTTCTTACTTCACAGATGATTCGAGTAGATGTTGAGAATATTTACTTGATGAAACACAAGTCTGAATTATTGAATGGTTCAAATAATTTCAGAGTGAAGTAGAAGATCATTATGACAAGAGGATAAAATGTCTATGATATGATCATAGAGATGAATATCTGAGTTACGAGTTTTGGCACACAATTAAGACATTGTGGAAATTGTTTCGCAATTAATACCGCCTGGAACACCATAGTGTGATGGTGTGTCCGAACATCATAGTTGCACCCTATTGGATATGGTGCGTACCATGATGTCTCTTATCGAATTACCACTATCGTTCATGGGTTATGCATTAGAGACAACCACATTCACTTTAAATAGGGCACCACGTAATTCCGTTGAGACGACACCGTTTGAATTATGGTTTAGAGAAACCTAAGTTGTCGTTTCTTAAAAGTTTGGGGCTGCGACGCTTATATGAAAAAGTTTCAGGTTGATAAGCTCGAACCCAAAGCGGATAAAATGCATCTTCATAGGAAACCCAAAACAGTTGGGTATACCTCCTAATTCAGATCCGAAAGCAATATGGATTGTTTCTAGAATCGGGTCCTTTCGCGAGGAAAAGTTTCTCTCGAAAGAGTTGAGTGGGAGGATGGTGGAGACTTGATGAGGTTATTGAACCATCACTTCAACCAGTGTGTAGCAGGGCACAGGAAGTTGTTCCCGTGGCACCTACACCAATTGAAGTGGAAGCTTATGATAGTGATCATGAAACTTCAGATCAAGTCACTCCCAAACCTCGTAGGATGACAAGGATGCGTACTATTTGAGAGTGGTACGTAATCCTGTCTTGGAAGTCATGTTGCTAGACAACAATGAGCCTACGAGCTATGGAGAAGCGATGGTGGGCCCGGATTCCGATAAATGGCTTGAGGCCATAAAATCCGAGAG